TCAAAGGCTCCTATACATTCACTTAACATCTCCCAAAATCTCTCTCTCTCCTCTGCATTCCTCTCTTCTCCAGGTGCATACACGCTTATTATGACCCACTTCTCGCATCCAACCTTTACTTTAATCCACATAATTCTTGAATTTACACATTCATATTCTTTTTTCTCCTTCCATAACTGATCATTTAACATTACTGCTACCCCTTCCTTTGCTCTAACTCTCTCAGATACTCCAGATTTAATCCCATTTATTTCCCCCCACTGAAACTCTCCTACCCCCTTCAGCTTTGTTTCGCTTAGGGCCAGGACATCCAACTTCTTTTCATTCATAACATCAGCAATCATCTGTTTCTTGTCATCCGCACTACATCCACGCACATTTAAGCAACCCAGTTTTTATAAAGTTTTTCTTCTTCTCTTTTTTAGTAATTGTATACAGGAGAAGGGGTTACTAGCCCATTGCTCCCGGCATTTTAGTCGCCTCATACGACACGCATGGCTTACGGAGGAAAGATTCTTTTCCACTTCCCCATGGACAATAGAAGAAATAAAAAAGAACAAGAGCTATTTAGAAAAAGGAGAAAAACCTAGATGTATGTATATATATATATGCATGTGCGTGTCTGTGAAGTGTGACCAAAGTGTAAGTAGGAGTAGCAAGATATCCCTGTTATCTTAGCGTGTTTATGAGACAGAAAAAGAAACCAGCAATCCTACCATCATGAAAAAACAGTTACAGGTTTTTGTTTCACAGTCATCTGGCAGGACGGTAGTACTTCCCTGGGTGGTTGCTGTCTACCAACCTACTACCTTTTGTCTGGGTGAGTGAGGAAGCTTCTGCTCATTCTTCCAAATATTTCGCTATATTTTTTTTATTTTTATTATCACACCGGCCGATTCCCACCAAGGCAGGGTGGCCCGAAAAAGAAAAACTTTCACCATCATTCACTCCATCACTGTCTTGCCAGAAGGGTGCTTTACACTACAGTTTTTAAACTGCAACATTAACACCCCTCCTTCAGAGTGCAGGCACTGTACTTCCCATCTCCAGGACTCAAGTCCGGCCTGCCGGTTTCCCTGAATCCCTTCATAAATGTTACTTTGCTCACACTCCAACAGCACGTCAAGTATTAAAAACCATTTCGCTATAATCCATTGTTTTTCGTGGTTATTGATTAAGTGCAACTGTGAAATAAGTAAGCATGGCCCAAAGAAAGTTCCTAGTAAAGTTCCTTTGGTAAAGAAAGTGAGAAACACGATGGAATTTAATTAACAAGTTGTTGAAAGTTTGAGAGTAGCTTTCGAGTGCCAGAACTTGCCAGGATGTATGGGAAAAACAAATCAACAATCACTTCTATCCTGGCAAAGAAAGAACAAATCAAGGAAGCTGATGTGGCAAAAGGAGTAAATGTGCTAACCAAACAAAGGCCACTGATAATGAAAGATATGGAGAAGTTGTTGGTTTTGTGGATCAACCAAAAACAATTAGCGGGAGACAGTGTTGCGGAGTCGATGATTTGTGAGAAGGCAAGGCAGTTGCACATGGATCTTGTAAAGAAAATGCCTGGAACAAGTACTGCTGTTAGTGAATTTAGGGCCAGCAAAGGCTGGTTTGAGAGATTTAAGAAGCGTAGTGGCATACAAAGTGTGGTAAGGCATGGGGAGGCTGCAAGTTCTGACAAATGTATGGCTGAAAAATTTGTGCAGGAATTCAAGGGGTATGTAGAGGTTGAAGGACTCCTCCCCCAAAAAGTGTTCAATTGTAACAAAACAGGCCTCTTTTGGAAGAAAATGCCAAAGAGGACGTATATTACGCAGGAGAAAAGAACACTGCCAGGACACAAGCCTATAAAAGACGGGCTTGCTCTTTCGTTCTGTGCTAATGCTGGTGGGGATTTCAGAGTGAAGCCTTTACTGGTGTATCACTCTGAAAATCCCAGTGTTCAGGAAAAACAATGTCATCAAGAATAAATTGTGTGTGATGTGGAAAGCTAATAATAAGGCATGGGTCACCAGGCACATTTTCAAAGAGTGGGTCAATGATGTATTTGGCCCCAGTGTGAAAAAATACCTCCTGGAAAAGAAATTGCACTCAAGTGCCTCCTGGTACTGGACAATGCTCCTGATCATCCTCCAGACTTTGAAGACCAATTGTTCACAGACTTCCATTTTATAACACTTAAGTTTTTGCCTCCTAACACCACTCCTTTCATCCAGCCCATGGACCAGCAGGTCATTTCTAACTTCAAAAAACTCTACACAAAAGCAGTGTTTGAAAGGTGCTTTGAAGTGACCTCGGACACTGACTTGACCCTAAGAGAGTTCTGGAGGAATCACTTCAATATCCTCCATTGCATAAGCCCTATAGGTAAGGCTTGGGAAGGAGTGACTTCCAGGACTTTAAACTCTGCTTGGAGAAAATAGTGGCCAGATTGTGTCCAACAGAGATTTTGAAGGGTTTGGGACTGACCCTGAGGACCCTATGCCTGTTGTGCAATCTACTGTGGTACTGGGGAAGTTCATGGGGTTGTATGTGAGTGGCGAGGATGTTGGCGAAGGACCACAGGGAAGAGCTGCAAGATGTTCAACTGGAACAGCAACAGCTAAGGAAATTGCTTCAGAGGAGGAAGAAGAGAGAGAGGGGAGAAGGTGCCTTCTTAGTGATTAAGGACATGTGTGCAAAGTGGAATGATTTGCAAAGTTTTGTTAAAAAGTATCACCTTGAGCAAGCTGAAACAAGCCATATCTGCAACATGTTCAGTGACAATCTTAACCCCTTCAGGGTCCAAGGTCCAAATCTGAAGTGGTGCCCCAGTGTCCAAGAATTTTCAAAAAAAAAATTTGTTATTTTTTCTTATGAAATGGTAGAGAACCTTTTTGTGAAGGTAATAAAAGAAAAAGTACGAAATTTGATGGAAAACTCACAAAATTATGCTCTCGCGAATTTTGATGTGTCAGCAATATTTACGAATCGGTGATTTTGCCGACTTTGACTCCCATTTTAGGCCAATTACATTATTCCAGTCAACCAAATTCTTAGCTATTTCACTAGTATTACTTCTATTCTATCGACTGAGCACAAGAAATCGCCAAGTCAACTGTTTCAACTACAAATTAAAGTGATCGGAAATTGTTAATTTGGCCAATTTAACACAAAGTTCAAAATATTCCAATTTCAAAATAGGTCCAGAATAAACAATGTAGGTATTCCTGGAACTAAACTAACATTTCCTCTGTTCATTAGTATGTTTTGAGCTTACAAATAAAATTCCATTTTGATTTTTATTTACATAATGAATTTTTTATTAACCCCAAAAAAATTAGATTTACTGTTTTGCAATACTGTAATAATTTATAAATATCATCACCATACTTGTGAATGCATATCAGACCCACCAGCTGACGTGTATTAGACGTGTGAGGTCGTTTGTTTACTCTTGAATATCGGCAAAAATTTAACATTTCTGCTACTTTGAGCTCAGTTTCAAGCCATTTCCAGTGCAAAAACCCAATCAAATCATCTCTATTTCTGTAATATGCCCTTCCATTCCTATCAAATGAGACCAAGAAATCGCAAATACAACTATAAAAACATACGAAAAACACTGCAAATTCGCTGTTTTAATCGAAAAAATCATGATTTCAGTTTTTTTTCTCTCATTATATACAGTGTGCTGCAGGATCTGTTTTATGTGGTGCACACATACCACATAGATGTATTCTCTCATATCTAGGCCCAAATGTACCACTCACAGTTTATCAGAGTGAGCTGAGCTCATGACGTAGATCTACGGTTTGGACCCTGAACGTAAAGCCGTAGATCTACGGGACGGACCCTGAAAGGGTTAATGAGACGCCAGAAACAAACTTCTCTGGACAGATTTTTTGAGAGACAGGGGTCCAGTGACTCTCAAGCTGGTCCTAGTGGCATTAGAAGACAAAGAAGAGAAGTAACCCAGAGAGGGACCTGAAGTCATTATGGAGAGGGATTCCTCTTCTAAACAATAACCCCCCAACTTCCTCTCTTCTCCTCCCTATCTTCTATAAGCCAAGAAGAGTCTTCAATAAAGGTATGTAATACTGATTTAATTGTTCATGTATTTATTTTATTTAGTTCTCATTGTTTTGTGTATGTAAAACTATAATTAATCCTTAAAAAAATTAATTTTTTGTGAATATTTTTGGGTGTATGGAACAGATTAATTTTTTTTTTTCAACAAGTCCGCCATCTCCCACTTAGGCAGGGTGACCCAAAAAGAAAGAAAATCCCCAAAACAAAAATACTTTCATCATCATTCAACATTTTCACCTCACTCATACATAATCACTGTTTTTGCAGAGGTACCTTTCATATACCTTTGAAGAATTTCGAGAGTTTATCTACTCTCTGAGCCCGGCCATGGGCTAGGCTCATCTTGTGCTTGCCTGGTCAACCAGGCTGTTGCTGCTGGAGGCCTGCTGCCCCATATATCCATCACAGCCTGGTTGATCTGCCCAGATACAACAGTTTAGAAGCATATATAAAGATACAATATAAAAACTGACCTGAAATAATATAAACTCCCTATAGAATATAATATCAGGGCCCTAATTATATATATACTGTCCTATTATATATCCCTCCAAACTGCCAATATCCCAAACCCCTCCTTTAAAGTGCAGGCATTGTACTTTCCATTTCCAGAACTCAAGTCCGGCTATATAAAAATAACCAGTTTCCCTGAATCCCTTCACTAAATATTACCCTGCTCACACTCCAACAGCTCATCAGGTCCCAAAAACCATTCATCTCCATTCACTCCTATCTAACATGCTCATGCATGCTTGCTGGAAGTCCAAGCCCCTCGCCCACAAAACCTCCATTTCGATTTTAGGCCGACCTTCTGGAACGGATTACACCCGATAACTGAGGGTCCACATGTATGCAACAGTTACAGAATTACTGCCTCCAACTTTTTTATTATATATGGTAGGCACAGGACTATATCTGAATGCAATTACCTTCATAATTTCTACATCATCTTTATCCTGCAGAGATACATAGAAGCTTGATTCCTTGTGGGATTTCCTGAGAGATGCTTGCTTCTTGCTACCTCGAGGGTTTTGATCTGATGACATAAATATGGGAAGATGAAAAAATGGACATTTTTGGTGGTATATAATAAGTCTAAAAAAGTTTTAATAATGAGTAAAAGTCTATAACACTAAATATATTCTAACAGTAAGTGATGAAGTATTTAAGCTCAGAGTGAAAATAAAGGAAGCCTAGAAAGATTTTTAATTTTTTTCACTGTGGGGTGTGAGAAGTAAAAAAAAAAACTTGTAATATTTTAAAGATTTTACAATGTCATTTCAATAAATTAGGTAATAAAAATGTTCTCATTCAAAAGTGAGTTATTATGCCTTTTGTTAATTCCAGGGATTATTGTCCCCTCTGTCTAGTCCCAGACCAGTGCTGAAAGATGTCAACTGCTTCCTTGATAGGTTATTAGATCACTCTATGTATTTGTCATAACTCCCATAACATCATATTCAGGATGGCTGGACATGTATCTTACAGCAAAATACAGATGTCTTTTAATGTCTACTCCAGAGATGTGATATAAATTACTTCTACACCAGGACTGATACACTGGCATCACAGTGTGATAAATGTATAAACAAGTAAGACAGTAATGTATACTGATCTTAATAATGGCTGTATATATATTTACATTACATAGGAATAAATTCACTTACATGGAAGTGTTTACTTTATTTACTGCAATGACTTCATAGCTTACAATATTTGAGCTAATAAACCATGGAATGGGTGGGGTTTGAACTCACAGCAAGAGAGAATCCTAAAATTTCAGGCCAGTGGGTAAGCCACTCGGCCAGCTGACTACAATAAGATTCATCCAACTAGTCATTTGAGCTTATGTACTAGCATTAAAGTGTAGTGTTGCAAGAGATTTTAGCGAAACAATGGCTAGAAAAATTAACATTAAAAATGAAGTGAATAAATGAATGAACAGAATCCATTGGATAGGGTACTCAGACTGTGGTCCTGACAGGTAGCAGGTCTGGTGCTGTACCACTGGCCTAAGATGCTTACGAATAGGAAGGTTTCACAGACAGCATTTTCTGCGACATGTCTGCATCAGAGGTTCTTGTCTGTTTTTCTGTTTATTCATTGCAAGTTTATTTATTATGCTTACCTTGAGTTTAAAGTGAATAAGTGTGTATTACCATGAATAACAATATTCCTTGCACATTTCATACACATTAATGTGTTTTTAAGAGTAAAATATCAGAGGCTCTGGCTCGTGATGCCTTAACCAAAAATGTATGAATCCTTCAAAACTGAAAAACATGTTTTCTTTCTGTAGTTCCCTGTTTGATCCTATTTTTGATACATTATGCCATAATTATGCATAATCAGAAGTACTGTCCTGACCTTTATGAAGTAGTGGTTTTTACTGTCTATTTAAGTACGTGTGTATAATGGTTTTGAAAAATGTTAATGATGTCTGCTAACAGATATTCAGTTTACAATAAAAATAATTAAACATGCACAACTTATGATTAATGAATCAACAAAGATTAAGTTAAGACAAGGACAGTTATGAAAACCTACTTGTTGCAACATCACCCACAGTGTGCTCCTCTTCTGTTGCATTATCAGGGAAGCAGAACTTCATCATAGTCTTGAAGAACTGGTATGTCAGGGCTGCAATGTACCATGATTTAATATATCTTTCTGCTAAAGTATATATCATCTCTTAGATCTCAGAGATGTGCTAATGACATACAGTACAAGAAAATGTAAATCCAAAATCCAGGTCCCAAACATAACCCTCTCAAAATTGAAGAAACATAGTGGTTACAAATGAGCAACTCAGTTCTTCCATCAGTGGAGAACTCACATTGCTGAAGTATGAACAGGCATTTTATCTTATAGTGGCCAAACACACAAGAGCCAAAATATGATTTGACAAATACATATGTTCCTTCACAAAAAACAGGTAGAAACTTAGGATACTTAAAAGCTAAAAAAAAAGTCTATTCACAATGTTAATGATTTTGCAATGATTATTATTATAATAAAAACTAAAAGTTAAATCCACAAGGGTCATACAGGATTTTGCAATGAAAAGTGATGCTTAGTTCTGGGCATAAAAACAAATAACATGTGATCACTTCTATTTGATCATAAACACCAATGTGTCTTTAAGAGATTGGAAGTCTAGTGCAGTAGTTACATGCTATGACACCACCTGCTATCTTCTATGATTATTTTTGACTTATCATGCAATCTTCCACTCCCATATATCTACACATATTTTAACCCTTTCAGGGTCCGTCCCGTAGATCTACGGCTGGTCGGTGAGTGTCCAAACCGTAGATCTACGCCAAAATTCTAGCGCCGTCAAATTTAGCGCGAAAGCGCTCATAGGCCTACATATGAGAGAATGGGTCTGCGCGGTGGGTGTGCGCCATAAACAAAAAATCTAGGCGCCTGCATAGCATTGTGGGAACGCCGGCTCAGTCACCCTTGTTCACCATGTCTCGTCGCAAGTCAGCTCTCACTCCCCGGAAAATTGGGACTCTCCTCTTCCTGTCTGATAGTTCTGACACTGATGGAAGTGGAAATGAAGACGAATTCTACGGCTTTGATGAGTTAGTGACCGAAAATAATGACCAGGATATCGATAATAGTGCAGAAAACCCCGACGATCCTCGACCTTCTACCTCTGGTGTGGGCACTCGTGACTCACGGTCGGTTGTTCCTAAACGTAAGAGAAAACTAATATTTTCCCGTGGTCTGGCCTCTGACTTCAGTAATGACGATGATTCTGACGTGGATTGTGATTTTATTGCGCTCGACGATCATTCGAGTAGTGATAGTGAGGAAACATATTCACCAGTGAAGCGTCGGTATGTGCGCCGCCGCATGCGCTCGGGTTAGTGTACCCTATGCTATGCCCAGGGGGACGGAGTACATCCCGTAGTACATCCCGGAGTACATCCCGTGGCCCTACACCCGTTTTAGGTAGTGATAGTGAGGATGATGTGGCTACACTTGGCATGGATGGGCCACAGACATCAGTGGATGGTGTTAGTGGGCTGGTGGTGGTAGTGCCACCGCCATGCGTGACTCGCTGTGCCACGCGGGAACCCACGCTGCTGACTCGTCAGTTCAAGGACAAAGGGAGCGTCCACCACCCAGCCCGCCACAACCACCCGTACAACCAGCCTATGATGTCCAGTATCCACCAGCAAACCGTATCTGGGATTGGCAGCAAAATCCCAATTTTGTCCCAGCCCTCACCACTTGATGACTCGCAAAGTGGAATTCTACCTACCTGTCCCCTTGGAACCACGGCCAATGAACTGGAATTCTTTGAATTATTCTTTGACCAGCATTGATGGAAACTAATGTCAGGGAAAGTAATAAGTATTTTCAGTACACCATGGCAAATACGATCTTATCACCACAGTCAAGACTACACAGGTGGAAAGAGACGACTGTTGCAGAAATGTATTTGCTTTTTGCAACAATAATGCTTATGCCTCACGTCTATAAGCATAATATAAAAGCATACTGGTCCACAGATCGGCTAATTATGTACCCCATCCTTCAGTGAAATAATACCAGTGAACAGGTTTATCTTACTCTTACGTATGTTGCACTTCTCTGACAAAACCAGGCCTGACAGAAGTGACAGGTTATACAAGATTAGAAATGTTTTCATGTATCTCAAACAAAAGTTCAGGATATACTTTTATCCATTCAAGAATCTTGTAATTGACGAGTCTTTGATTTTGTTCAAAGGTAGACTGTCATTCAAGCAGTATATACCGAGCAAGAGGAACCGCTTGGTATAAAATTGTTTGTACTCTGTGATTGTGGACAGTGGCCTGGTGTTGGATATTGTTGTATACACGGGTAGTAAAACATTGAAAGATACCAAGATGTTATTGGGTATATCAGGTGACGTAGTGAGAAACATGATGGCACCTTATCTTGGTAAGGGCCATACATTATATACCGATAACTGGTACACAAGCCCATTACTCAGTGATTTCATGCGAGTGAACAAGACAGATGTGTGTGGCACAGTGCGTTCTAATCGTAAACATATGCCCAGGCTCAACGCAGGTGTTCGTGGTGATGACGTGCAGGTGTTTTACTGCCAATGACATCATGGCATTACGGTGGCATGACAAACGAGATGTCACATTGTTGACAACCATTCACCGTAATGAAATGCAAGACAGTGGCAAAGTTGATCGAGTGACTAATGAACGTATTCGAAAACCAGTGACAGTGATTGATTATACACAAAACATGCGCTTGGTTGACAAGTGTGACATGCAGATTGGTTTTGTTGACTGTGTTCGTAAGAGTTACAAGTGGTACATGAAACTTTTCTTCCATCTCATGACATTTCAATGCTGAATGCATATAATATGTACCAAATAAAGACTGTAACAGACCACCGTATGGTGAATTTTGTTTGTCTGTTGTCAGACAACTCATAATGAAGTACCAGGTAACAACACCTGCAATACAACATGGTCCTCGAATTCATCACAATATACCCAAGCGTTTGAGAAGAGAAGGTGATCATTTCATAATACAGCTTCCTTCAACTCAAAAGAAATTTGCTCAGAAGAGATGCATTGTCTGTGCACAAACAAAACGACGGCAACAAAGACGCAAAGACACTCGGTTTATGTGTGAGGAAATGTAAGGTGCCTCTGTGCATGGTGCCTTGTTTCAAGGAGTTCCACAAGCTCCAGCAGTTCTAAACCATGTCCAGTGATTGTAAATATGTAAATATATGATAGAACATTAGTATTATACAATATTTGTGCATGTTTATTGTAATAAACAACGTGGTAAACAATAATAGATAATAACTTTAGTGCGGTTATTGTGTTCAATACAGTGAGTTTATATATATAAATTATATACAGTATTGGTCTCTCAGGCCCCAAATGTTAGTAGGAATAGAAAAAAATTGGAAAAGAAAAGAAAAAACAACTAAAACAACAAAATAATATAATACGCGTATGTGGAATTCGTCGATGTTGCCGCCACCACATCATTTTCTACAAACTTCTTGGCACTGTATCTCGGTAAGTACTGATCAGATTCTAATTTTTTTTGTTTTATTACCTTCACAAAAATATGCTCTTTAATTCTGTAAGAAAAAATAATTTTTTTTTTTTTCAAAATTTCTTGGACACTGGTGCGTGACTTCAGATTTTGGCCTTGGACCCTGAAAGGGTTAACATCTGATGCTATTAATAGTTACCAGTCTCTATAAACAGTATTTTGGGGCACACAGATGGCCTTTCTTAATCACACACACACACACAAAAAGAAATGCTTTGACAATGATGTTGAGACTTATCAAATAAGAGTTAAACAGCAAAAACATTTGAAGAATTTTCATGTTGTACATGTCTTACCCAAAGGAAAAAGAGCTCTGTGATTTATGTTGATTAAAGCACCAGTAGGTGTAGCCAATAAGTGGATGAGTAACTACATATACACAGTCTCATCCTTATTTAAGATGACTCAATAATTAAGAACTTCATGTCCCTAATGCAGGTGCACTACATCAAATGCACACCCATGATACAAAAAAAAATTACATAATCAAAAGATACTGAAGAATATAGCAGAGAAATAACACCAGAGTAAAGGTAAGACACAATTGCAATATTTATATGTGTGAGTGATCGGTTTCAAGGGTTTGTTTATCTTTGCAGTCCAACTTGATTGAGGCCAGACCTTGGATTCTCTAACCCACTTACCCATGGAATTTGAAAGGAAACACTACAGGGATAACAGCTATTAAGAAAGAAAGAAGAAAAAAAAAAAGACAAAAGAAAGTAAAGATTAATGTATATACATATGTATACACATCCACATGCATATAAAAAAAATGCAGGAATGCTTATTTAACATCTAAAAGTGAGTTGAAATAATTTTTTTTTTAACAAGTCGGCCATCTCCCACCAAGGCAGGGTGACCCAAAAAGAAAGAAAATCCCCAAAAAGAAAACGCTTTCATCGTCATTCAACACTTTCACCTCACTCACACATAATCACTGTTTTTGTAGAGGTGCTCAGAATACAACAGTTTAGAAGTATACGTATACGTATAAAGATACACAACATATCCCTCTAAACTGCCAATATCCCAAACCCCTCCTTTAAAGTGCAGGCATTGTACCTCCCATTTCCAGGACTCAAGTCCGGCTATATAAAAATAACTGGTTTCCCTGAATTCCTTCACTAAATATTACACTGCTCACACTCCAACAGCTCGTCAGGGCCCAAATACAATTCGTCTCCATTCACTCCTATCTAACATGCTCATGCACACTTGCTGGAAGTCCAAGCCCCTCGCTCACAAAACCTCCTTTACCCCATCCCTCCAACCTTTCCAAGGAAGACCCCTACCCCGCCTTCCTTCCCCCACAGATTTATACGCTCTCCATGTCATTCTACTTTGATCCATTCTCTCTAAATAACCAAACCACCTCAACAAACCCTCTTCAGCCCTCTGACTAATACTTTTATTAACTCCACACCTTCTCCTAATTTCCACACTTCGAATTTTCTGCATAATATTTACACCACACATTGCCCTTAGACAAGACATCTCCACTGCCTCCAAACGTCTCCTCGCTGCAGCATTTACAACCCAAGCTTCACACCCATATAAGAGTGTTGGTACCACTATACTTTCATACATTCCCTTCTTTGCCTGCATAGATAACAATTTTTTTGTCTCCATACATAACTCAACGCACCACTCACCATTTTTCCTTCATCAATTCTATTATTAACCTCATCCTTCATAAATCCATCCGCTGACATGTCAACTCCCAAATATCCGAAAACATTCACTTCTTCCATACTCCTCCTCTCTAATTTGATATCCAATTTTTCATCTAAATCATTTGATACCCTCGTCACCTTACTCTTTTCTATGTTCACTGTCAACTTTCTACCTTTACACACGCTTCCAAACTCGTCCACTAACCTTTGCAATTTTTCTTTAGAATCTCCCATAAGCAAAAACTAACTGTTTCAATTCCCATTCTGTATTTGATTCCCCATAATTTAATCCCACCCCTCTCCCAAACACCCTAGCATTTACTTCTTTTACATCCCCATCTATAAATATATTAAACAACCATGGTGACATTACACATCCCTAAGACCTACTTTTACCGAGAAGTAATCTCCCTCTCTTCTACACACCCTAACCTGAGCCTCACTATCCTCATAAAAACTCTTTACAGCATTTAGTAACTTACTACCTATTCCATATACTTGCAACATTTGCCACATTGCTCCCCTATCAACTCTATCATATGCCTTTTCTAAAACCATAAATGCAATGAAAACTTCCCTACCTTTATCTAAATACTGTTCACATAGTATATACTTCAATGTAAACACTTGATCTACACATCCCCTACCTACTCTAAAACCTCCTTGCTCATCCGCAATCCTACATTCTGTCTTACCTCTAATTCTTTCAATAATAACCCTACTGTACACTTTTCCTGGTACACTCAGTAAACTAATTCCTCTATAATTTTTACAGTCTCTTTTGTCCCCTTTCCATTTATATAAAGGAACTATACATGCTCTCTGCCAATCCCTAGGTATATTCCCCTTTCATACATTTATTAAACAAAAATACCAACCACTCTAACTCTATATATCCCCCTGCTATTAACATTTCTGTCATGATCTTGTCAGTTCCAGCTGCTTTACCCCCTTTCATTCTACGTAATGCCTCACACACCTCCCCCACACTCACATCCTACTCTTCTTCACTCCTAAAAGATGTTATACCTCCCTGGCCAATGCATGAAATTGCCGCCTCCCTTTCTTCAACATTTAAAAGTTCCTCAAAATATTCCCGCCATCTACCCAATACCTCCATGTCCCCATCTACTAACTCCCCTACAATAATTGTTACTGAAGTAATGTATATCACATTAAAATAGAAAGGATTCAAGAATATTTAGCCATTCATAAATATTAAAATCACTTACCAATATTCAAAGGAACAACATTGATTTCAAAATGTTCAATAATTGAAATGCCTCCACAAGGTGGTTTTTCCCGGCAAAATATTCTGAGTGTTCTCTGCATAAAGAGAAATCAGAGGAATAAGTCAAATAGCATTCAAGCCATTAAACTAAGCTAGTAGTTATCACCAATGAACATTAAACTTAACTAGTAGTTATCATCAATGAACATTAAACTAAACTAGTAGTTATCATAAATCACTGAAGTACTGTCAGCAGCAAAAGACATTACAATTATACTGAAGATGATTTTCAATTAAATGTTATATAATACTGCAGAGTAAATTGCTTTAACTATTATATAAATATTTGTTAACAAAATGGCTCCTTCCTACCAAGGCAAGGTGACTCACAGAAGGAAAACACATTCACCATCACTCATTCTCTAGTTATCTTGCCAGAAATGCACAGAAATCCCAATTCAACTGACCCACTGAATTACAACATACTTCAGCTTGCAGTTCCTATACATATCTCCAGAACCTACTTTTTACCTCAATTGCTTTCTCTCACCAAAACAGAGGGAACAAAATAAGAAAACATATTCACTATATAGATTTTTTTTTAACATGCTGGTTGCCTCCCACCGAGGCAGGATGATCAGAAAAAGAAACACTTTCACCATCAATCACACTGACATTGTCTTTCCAGGGATACCCTGATATGACAATTAGATGTCACTCTAAATAGCTAATATCCCAAATCTCTCCTTTGAAGTGCAGGCACTGTACTTCCCACCTCCAGGACTCAAGTCCGGTTAACTAGTTTCCCTGAATCCCTTCACGAAATATTGCCCTGCTCACACTCCAACAGTCTGTCAAGTCCCAAAAACCATTTTTCTCCACTCACTCCTATTTAATATACTCACACACACCTGCTGTGTGTCAAAGCCCCCTTGCACATAAAGCCTCTTTTACCCCCTCCTCCATCGATTCCTAGGACGATCCCTACCCCTCCTTCCCTCCACTACAGATTTATGCACCTTCCAAGTCATCCTATTTTGCTTAATCCTCTTTAAATAACCAAACCACCTCAAAAACCTCTCCTCATAACTCTGAATAATACTTCTGGTAACTCCACACCTCCTCCTGATTTCCACACTATGAATTCTCTGCACAATATTTACATCACACATTGCCCACAGACACATCACTGCCTCCAGCCTCCTTATTGCTGCAACATTCACAACCCATGCTTCACACCCATAAAAGAATGTTGGTACCACTATACTCTTATACAGTCCCATCTTTGCCTCCATGGATGACATTCTTTGTCTCCACAGATGCCTCAATGCACCACCCTCCTTTTTCCCTTCATCAATTTTATGGCTTACTTCGTCCTTCATATAACCATCAGCCGACATGTCCACTCCAAAACATCTGAACACATTCACTTCTTCTATACTCCCTCCCTCCAATCTGATATCCACTTTCTAAAGGAGACAATCTTTTATATTGTTCATCCTTTCAATGAATCAAAATATTCACAGATAATGCAATTAACCAACCTGTCGATCAACTGGCATGTTCAACTGCAGCTCTGATGGCATTAGCACTTCTTGATAAGGCTGATTAGGCAAAAGATTTCTCATAGTTACAAAGCCTAACTCCAAGAGATGCTCCCCACTGTCATCAGCATTGGTCTTCTTTGTATATCTGTTAGAATAAAAATTACTCTCCTGATTTATTAATAAAAATGTAAATATCTTCTCATTTGTATCTCAGTTTTGTACAATTGTATCAAAGTATTAACAGTACATAAAGATCCAATCCAATCATATGATTGGATTGGATGCCATCACTAATCTGGCATCATTGGGACCTGTAGTGTGCTGGATTAGTGAGTTTGCTGGATTACAGAGTGGCTAGGTTGGAATACACTTAATTAACCAATCAATAGAGACTCTGCTACATCTTCCTCATTTTCATCACTGCTTTCTCCTCCACTGGCTTGCTGCTGTAGATTTACAACCATCTGCACAATTTCTGAGTCAGTATAATGATGAAATTTGAAATTATGCTAGCCGAAATTAGTGCCGGATTACTGATGGAACCGGATGACTGATTGCTGGATTAGTCATGGCCAACCTGTACTATAACATGTACAGTATATCATATAAAAAACAAAACTAATGATTACTAACTGGGCATGTAAATGAAAATGTAATTAGAGGTCTCCTCAATTCAAAAAAGTTTAAATACAAGAGAAACTCATTTTAATTTGGGATGAGTGTGAGGGAAAAGTTCAATAGATAGGAGTAGCGAGGGAGTATATAGTAACAATAGTTTCATTGCCGGCTACTTGTTAAGATAGGGTAAGTCCAGCTCCCGCTATTCCCTCCCCCCTTTTTCCCCCTCCCCGAAAGTGATAGTTTGATTGCCGGCTGCTTGTTAAGGTAGGGTCAGTCTAGCTCCAGCTATCCCTTCCCCTCCCTTCTCCCCCCCCCCCCGAAAGGTGACGTGTGGGGCTCCGGTCAAACAGTAAATCACTCGACTCACAGCTCCCAACACTACTGTAAGTACACGCCTGATCATATTTTAGTGGACTTATTGGTTGAAAGCTTCACTTTTGACCAATAATTAACTTAGTCCTTTCAGTCTTCATAGGTTAAAATGTTTTAATAATCACCACATCTTTTAGGTATTGTCTCTCTTTACAGCTTGAAAGGACAGAGAGGGTCACCTGCTAATCAACGAGTAGAAATTGAAGGAGACGGACTAACGTTCTGAGGCGTCCCAATTTCTGATCCACTTACCTGTTTGTGTATGAAAGTAGCAGGATATAACCCCTCATCATTGCAGTGGAAAAAAACCTGCTTTCCTATCATCTGGATGAATTATTGATGGCTAGAAAATCTGTGAAGAACGAGCCGGTGGGTTGTCATCAACACCTGCGACCCCCCCCCATCATCGGCAATGGCTACGATTTCAACAACACGCAGTGTCACCAACACCAGACACCCAAGTTTTATATACAGTGGACCCCCGCATAACGATATTATTTCAATCCAGAAGTCTGTTTGGGTGCCGTTATAGACTGAATTTGCTCCCATAAGAAATATTGTGAATTAGATTAGTCCATTTCAGACCCCTAAAAATACACCTACAAAAGCACTTACAAAAATAAACTTACATAATTGGTCGAGTTGGGAGCTGATCGTTATGCGGGGGTCCACTGTATATATATATTAGCGTTGAATTCAGATATCATTTATATTTTTCATTTTCTTTAAGGTAGGATTAATATTTCATATTTAAGTGTTTTATATTTTATATTTTCTAAATAATAAAGTGTTTATGTTTGTCAGTTTTTGTTCTTTTTCTATTCATTAATTTTCCTGAGGAGGAGCCAGCCTTGGTAATACTGTCTGAAGTTGTTACAGGGCTGAGTAAGCCTTCACAATGAGGAAATGGGGAAGAATATATAATACTGTACTGAAATAAATTCCATAATACATGAGGTGGCCCCTCACAATATGAGAAAATCAATGATTTAGTACAATGAGCAATCCCGAGGACTACTTACCGCGAGAAGAGTCAGGAGAAGAGTGACACTTCTGGCTTATCCTGGCTAGTAGGTAAACCCCACTAATTCTTTCCCAGGATAATAGGGGAGTGCTGATGGTCAAAAACCCCAAATTATATGACCAATAACTACAATGTTCTTTGATAAAAGAAATCTCCATAATCTGACTAAGAAACTGAAGCTAAATCCAGTATGATATTACCCCAACTTTACCATAAAGGACTTGTATAGGAAGGCTGGTAAAGCCAGTGAAGGGAAATCTAGTAACTTTCTGGTTTATGTAGGAAGATTCTCAAATATTCATCGTGTTTTTATCTTCCTTGCAATAATGATTTTGGCAACACTGAAAAGAAAGCTAAACTTGTGGAAATATTTGATTCCCCATAATTTAATCCCACCCCTCTCCTGAACATTCTAGCATTTACTTCTTTTACAACCCCATCTATAAATATATTAAACAACCATGGTGACATTACACATCCCTGTCTAAGGCCTACTTTTACCGGGAAGTAGTTTCCCTCTCTTCTACACGCCCTAACCTGAGCCTCACTATCCTCATAAAAAGTCTTTACAGCATTTAGTAACTTACCACCTATTCCATATATTTGCAACATCTGCCACATTACTCCCCTATCCACTCTTTCATATGCCTTTTCTAAACCCTGGCCAGTGCATGAAATTACCACCTCCCTTTCTTCCTCAACATTTAAAAGTTCCTCAAAATAGTCTCACCATCTACCTAATACCTCCCTCTCCCCATCTACTAACTCCCCTACTCTGTTTTTAACTGACAAATCCATACGTTCCCTAGGCTTTCTTAACTTGTTTAACTCACTCCAAAATTTTTTCTTATTTTCATTAAAATTTCTTGACAGTGCCTCTCCCATTCTATCATCTGCTTTCCTTTTGCACTCTCTTCACCTTTCTCTTACTCTCCATGTACTTTACTCTTCTTATAACACCTCTGCTTTGTAAAAACCTCTCATAAGCTAACTTTTTCTCTTTTATCACACCCTTTACTTCATCATTCCACCAATCACTCCTCTTTCCTCCTGCCCCCACCCTCCTATAACCACAAACTTCTGCCCCACATTCTAATACTGCATTTTTAAAACTATTCCAACCCTCTTCAACCCCCCCCCACTACTCATCTTTGCACTAGCCCACCTTTCTGCCAATAGTCACTTATATCTCACCCAAACTTCCTCCTCCCTTAGTTTATACACTTTCAATTCCCTCCTACTTGTTGTTGCCACCTTCCTCTTGTCCCATCTACCTCTTACTCTAACTGTAGCTACAACTAAATAATGATCCGATATATCAGTTGCCCCTCTATAAACATGTACATCCTGGAGCCTACCCATCAACCTTTTATCCACCAATACATAATCTAACAAACTACTTTCATTTAATGCTACATCATACCTTATATATTTATTTATCCTCTTTTTCATAAAATATGTATTACTTATTACCAAATATCTTTTTACACATAGCTCAATTAAAGGCTCCCCATTTACATTTACCCCTGGCACCCCAAATTTATCCACTACTCCCTCCACAACATTTTTACCCACTTTAGCATTGAAATCCCCAACCACAAGTACTCTCACACTTGGTTCAAAACTCCCCACGCATTCACTCAACATTTCCCAAAATCTCTCTCTCTCGTCTACACTTCTCTCTTCTCCAGGTGCATATATGCTTACTATAACCCACTTTTCACATCCAACCTTTATTTTACTCCACATAATCCTTGTATTAATACATTTTTAGTCCCTCTTTTCCTGCCATATCTTATCCTTCAACATTATTGCTACTCCTTCTTTAGCTCTAACTCTATTTGAAACCCCTGATCTAATCCCATTTATTCCTCTCCACTGAAACTCTCCCACGCCCTTCAGTTTTGTTTCACTTAAAGCCAGGACATCCAGCTTCTTCTCATTCATAACATCCACAATCATCTCTTTCTTATCATTTGCACAACATCCACGCACATTCAGACTTCCCACTTTGACAATTTTCTTCTTATTCTTTTTCATAATCTTTATGGGAAAAGGGGTTACTAGCCCATTGTTCCTGGCATTTTAGTTGACTTTTACAACACGCATGGCTTACGGAGGAAAGATTCTTATTCCACTTCCCCATGGATGTAAAAGGAAAAGTAATAAGACCAAGAACTATTAAGATAAAATCAAAGAAAACTCATATGAGTGTGTATAAATAAATGTGTACATGTATGTGTAGTGTGACCTAAGTGTAAGTAGAAGTAGCAAGACATACCTGTAATCATGCATATTTATGAGACAGACAAAAGACACCAGCAATCCTACCATCATGTAAAACAATTACAGGCTTTCGTTTTACACTCACTTGGCAGGACGGTAGTACCTCCCTGGGTGGTTGCTGTCTACCAACCTACTACCTACAAAAATGTGTGGTGTGAATATCATGCAGAAAATTTGGAGTGTGGAAATTAGGAGAAGGTGTGGAGTTAATAAAAGTATTAGTCAGAGGGCTGAAGAGGGGTTGTTGAGGTGGTTTCATCATTTAGAGAGAATGGGTCAAAGTAGAATGACATGGAAAGTGTATAAATCTGTAGGGGAAGGAAGGCGGGGTAGGGGTCATCCTTGAAAAGGTTGGAGGGAGGGGGTAAAGGAGGTTTTGTGGGCGAGGGGGCTTGGACTTCCAGCAAGCGTGCATGAGCGTGTTAGATAGGAGTGAATGGAGACGAATGGTACTTGGGACCTGACGATCTGTTGGAGTGTGAGCAGGGTAATATTTAGTGAAGGGATTCAGGGAAACCGGTTATTTTATATAGCCGGACTTAAGTCCTGGAAATGGGAAATACAATGCCTGCATTTTAAAGGAGGGGTTTGGGATATTGGTAGTTTGGAGGAATATGTTGTGTATCTTTATACGTATATGCTTCTAAACTGTTGTATTCTGAGCACCTCTGCAAAAACAGTGATTATGTGTGAGTGAGGTGAAAGTGTTGAATGATGATGAAAGTATTTTCTTTTTGGGGATTTTCTTTCTTTTTGGGTCACCCTGCCTCGGTGGGAGACGGCCGACTTGTTGAAAAAAAAAAAATGTTAATATCAAGCAAGGTTATGTTATTAGGCCAACAAACTAAAAAAAAAATATATACAAAATAAACTGCAGAAGGTAAGGAGAAATGTATATAATCATAATAAGTTATAATTTTTTAAACTTTCTATTACACCGCAGTGTAATAGCCCAGTGTCTAAGTTTGGTGAAAAATTAAGTGACAAAGGACATGGTACTCTCCATAACTGCACCATGAAAATTTATTTTTATGTCTCCACCATCCAACTTAAATGCCTGCAGAACTTCTTGTAGGCCTCCAAGATATGAAAGATAATTAGGATGATGCTTTCCACTACCAAAATATTGTACCAATACATACAACCACACTACAAATGCATTAAACGAGGGTCCACTGTACTCTGATATGCAACATTAACCCCTAAACGGTCCAAACGTACATATACGTTCTTACGCGTAGCACCCCAAACGTATATATCTTTTTCTATCTGTCTATCTCTGTCTGTCTCTGTCTACCTCTGTCTCTGTCTACCTTTGTCTGTCTCTGTCTATCTGTGTCTGTCTCTGTCTCTGTGTGTCTGTCTCTGTCTATCTGTCTCTGTCTTTGTCTATCTGTCTCTATCTCTTTCAATCTGTCTCACAGGTACACATAAATACAAGTATACATAGTGTAAATTACCTAGGATAACCCAAAAAAATCCAGACAAAGCGCTACACTCTGCTTGAAGATGTGAGTAAATGTGATGACATAGTCTTGTGGCTCTCTCTGAGACAGAGCTAGACAGACAAACAGATAGACAAGGAGCTTGACAGACAGACATGTTTGTGTACCAGCGAAAACAAAGGAGGGCGATGCTCATCAAATGTCACCTCTAATCTTTTCTTATCTGCTGCACCCTCGTGTATGCTCGTCAAATGTCAGCTCTTATCAAATGTTATCTCATCTTATCATGTTACTGTCAGGGGTGGACTTTGTTTTTCATGCTTCAAGAGAACTTATTATTACCTATTATTGTATTATGCATTCTTCTTCTCCTCCTCCTCCTCCTCTTCCTCCTCATTATTATTATATACTTCCACATATCCAAAACATTGCTGGGCCATATAAATACTTTGTATATATTCCAAGACAATAGTAAATAGCCAAGGCAGGTGTAAATGTCCAGCTGTCAATGTGTTTGTGACAATCTGAGTACAATTTCAGTACCTAATACTAGTGTCAGAACAAAGATTGGTTATGAAACGACAAGAACTACTATAAATTGTAATTATCAGAACATAAAAATTATATAAAATAATATGAAAAATAGAAAAAAAGGTATATGAGCAACACTTCTGCAAGCTGAAGGACTCGATGTTGCTGTCACATGAGCATCCAGTGCCAACTTCTCAGCCTCATATCTCGGTAAGTACTGACCTAATTTTTTTTTATTCTAAAACACTTAAAAAATGTGCTCTTTTTTCTATAAAAAGAAATTTTTTTTTTTTTTTAAATATTTGGGGCACTGCCCAGGTGAAAGTATATATACGTTTGAACTGTTTAAGGGTTAAGTGCCCCAATGCTGTTCATGGCTTATCATTATTATGTCATGCTTATGTGGTAACATTATCACATTAATCTATCCAATGTGATTAACAATATGGTGCAAACCCAACTGATGATAATTTATACTTGTAGTTTCAGCAGTTTTAAAATTGCTTAAGTTTGCATGTGATTCTCTAAAAGGTTAGTTTCATGGAAGGTGCCCCTACTACTCATGGTGCCTCATATGTACTGAAAAAGTTGATTATTAAGCAAAATTTTGTAGCATCACAGATGACTTCTAAAAACCAAGATGTTTATCTTACTATATAATGAAAGAAACCTTAAAACCAGTGATAGGTATCTATAGTGAAGCAGCAAACAAGATATTAATCCCAACTTACAAGAAATTAGACAAGACCAAGTCAGCGATACCCAACTGCCCATCTGCCTCTGTTAGTCGCCACTGTGCCTTCCTGAAGCATACTTCATTCATACGGATCACCTTCACCTATAATAAACATAACATATCATTTAAAATAGCTTGTTACTGACAAGATCACTTTGCAAATAGAGATACAGTGAAAGCATAAATGCCAATGTTCATTTTAAATACCTGTTTATCTCCACCCAGCGCCATCCACTTATGGTTTGCTGACAGTTGGTTTTCATTGTAGCAGTGAATTCTCATGGCCAATTCTTCACTAAGACCATTGACTTGTTCCTTGCAAGCCGACACCTGGTGTTCACAAGAGTATCACGTTAATCCAAGACTTAAACACTGTTTTATGATAATAATCAGAGTAATGTTATGAAATAACTCAAGAGATTTCTCGTATATACTTACTTGTTCCTCTAAATCAAACTTCTCATTTCTTTTTTGTTCATTGTTTGGATCCTTATCCAGCTGTCTCTGGACTAAATATACTTCTTTCTCCAAACTTCTTAGTTGTGATAAGTGATATCTGCAGAATAATATAGTATTAATATTACTATATTCATGGGGGAAGCACTAAACCCAAAGGGTCACCAAATGCCTGCACTCTAAAGAAGGGGATGCTGCAACTCCTAAGGTCATATGAACTGTTGTTAGAACACTTCAGGCAAGACAGCACTGAATGAAGAATGGTGACTGTTTCCTCTTTTTATTTTTTCTGGTGATCACCCACTCTTCGAGGGAAACAGTCAGTGTGTTAAGAAAGAAGAACAATTAGATTTAACCCCTAAACGGTCCAAATGTACATATATGTTCTTATGCATAGCGCCCCAAACGTATATATATGTTTTAATTTTCCTGCCTCCAAATTTGGCATGATTGCCCTGAGATGCCTGGTCAGCATAGCATGGGTATTAACACTCGGTGTGCACCATATTAAAAAAAATTTGGGGAGTGCCAGTTAATTTAAGCGCCAGCTAGAACAAACAGTGCTGCAAACACCAAGGATTCACTCCTCCTTCAAGAGGAAAGTGATGTTAACCCCAAGTTTAGGGCCTGTCAATCTCTGTCTATTTCTGTATCTGTGTCTGTCTATCTCTGTCTACCTCTATCTCTGTCTCTATCTGTGTTTGTCTATCTCTTTCAATCTGTCTCTATCTCTCTCTCACAGGTACACATAAATACAAGTATAGTGTAAATTACCTAGGATAACCCAAAAAATCCAGACAAAGTGCTATACTCTGCTTGAAGATGTGAGTAAACGTGATGAAGCAGTCTTGTGGCTCTCTCTGAGACAGAGAGCTAGACAGATAGACAGATAGACAGGGAGCTTGACAGACAAATAGACAGACAAACATGTTTGTATACCAGCAAAAACAGAGGCAATGCTCATCAAATGTCACCTCTAACCTTTTCCTATCTGCAGCACCCTCGCGTATGCTCATGAAACGTCAGGTCTTATCAAATGTTATCTCATCTTATCATGTCATTGTCAGGGGTGGACTTTGTTTTTCATGCTTCAAGGGAACTTATTATTACCTATTATTATTATTACATATTCTTTTTCTCCTCCTCCTCCCCCTCCCCCTCCTTCTCTTCTTCCTCCTCCTCCTCCTCCTCCTCCTTCTCCCCCTCCTCCTCCTCCTCCTCCTTCTCCTCCTCCTCCTTCTCTCCTCCTCCTCCTTCTCGTTCTCCTTCTCCGACTTCTCCTTCTCCTCCTCCTCCTCCTCCTCTTCCTCTTCCTCCTCCTCCCTCCTTCTCCTGCTCCTCCTCATTATTATTATATACTTCCAAATATCCAAAACATTGCTGGGACATATAAATACTTTGTATATATTCCAAGACAACAGTAAATGACCAAGCTAAATGTCCAGCTGTCAATGTGTTTGTGACAATCTGAGTACAATTTCTGTACCTAATACTAGTGTCAGAACAAAGATTGGTTATGAAATGACAAGAACTACTATAAATTTTAATTATCAGAACATAAAAATTATATAATATGAAAAAATAGAAAAAAAGTTACATCGGCAACACTTCTGCAAGCTGCAGGACTAGATGTTGCCGTCACATGAGCATCCAGTGCCAACTTCTCAGCCTCATATCTCTGTAGGTACTGACCCCAATTTTTTTGATTCTAAAACACTTAAAAAATGTGCTCTTTTTTCTATAAAAAAAAAAACATTTTTTTTTTTTCAAAATATTTGGGGCGCTGTGCAGGTGAACGTATATATATGTTTGGACTGTTAAGGGTTAAAATGAAAAAGATATGTTATAAATTTTCTTTATTTTCAGATAGCCAACATGGCTAACTGACCTCACTGGGAAATATCATTGAAATCTTATGATGCAGTCAAAAAGGTAATCAAGAAGAAACTGCAAAAATCAAATCAAGAGCAAGAACCGAATTTACCTGACTTGGTTTTGGAGTCTAATAATGGGTTTTCGCTGATCATCTCTGGAATACAGCTGAAGCTGGAACCTCATACGTGCCACACCCTCTGTTGCCTCTTTTTTCTTCGGGTCCACATAGAGCAGTAAGTTGTTCAGTATATCTACTACCATACTGTACTAAAGAAATAAAAATTGAAAACTTTATATATATACTGAATCTGTATAGAGTATGCAACATAACAGAATATTAAGCCTTAATTAAACTGTAATTATACATCATAATGTGTGTGTGCTACAGTATACATGTCATATTTTTTATTTTAAAAGAAAATGTAGAGAGTAGTATACAAGCATAATAGATATACTGTAACATTCTTGTGGAGAAACATCACCAGCAAACTGATGCAAGCAATTGGTGTGTGTGTGTGTGTGTGTGTGTGTGTGTGTGTGTGAGGGAAAAGTTCAATAGATAGGAGTAGCAATATAGTAACAATAGTTTCATTACAGGCTACTAGTTAAGGTAGGGTAAGTCACGCTCCCGTTTTTCCCGCCTTTTCTTCCCCCCCACCCCTAAAGTGATAGTTTGATTGCCGGCTACTAGTTAAGGTAGGGCAAGTCACGCTCCCGTTTTTCCCGCCTTTTCTTCCCCCCACCCCTAAAGTGATAGTTTGATTGCCGGCTGCTTGTTAATGTAGGGTCAGTCTAGCTCCCACTATCCCTTCCCCTCCCTCTTCCCCCCCCCCTCGAAAGGTGACATATGGGGCTCTGGTCAAACAGTAAATCACTCGACTCGCAGCTCCCAACACTACTGTAAGTACATGCCTGCCTTGTATTCTAGTGGATTTATTGGTTAAAAGCTTCACTTTTGACCAATAATAAACTTAGTCTTTTCAGTCTTTCTCTAGGTTGACTGTTGTAATAATCACCACGTCTTTTGAGTAGTGTACACTGCCATGGAGAGTGATTATTTAAGCAGTGGGTAACCTGTCTATCTTTTCAGCTTGGATGACAGTGAGGGTCACCTGTCAATCAACGAGAAGAACAGGAGAAGGACTAACGTCCAGAGACTTCCCCATTTTGCATTTAAGTACCTGTGCACCTGTATGAAATTGCAGGACGTAACCCCACATCATTGCAGCGGTAGAGAACCTGCTTTCCTGTCACCGGGATACTACTCACTGGTATACTGTGAAGAACTAGCCAGTGGATGGTCACCAACACCTGCGACCCCCCCCACCCATCATCAGCAACGGCTACGATTTCAACAACAGTGTCACCAACACCAGACACCCAAGTGTTACATTAGCGTTGAGTTCAAATGTTATTTTATTCATTTCATTTTTCATTTTTCTTTCAAATAGGATATACCTTTCATGTTTTATTGTTTTATGTTTGATTTAATAAATAATAAAGTGTTTATCTTTGTGAATTATTATTTCTTTTTCTATTCACTAATTTTCCTGAGGAGGAGCCAGCCTGAGTAATACTGTCTGAAGTTGTTACAGGGCTGAGTAAGCCTTCACAGTGTGTGTACGTACTCACCTACTTGTGGTTGCAGGGGTCGAGTCTTAGCTCCTGGCCCCGCCTCTTCACCGGTTGCTACTGGGCCCTCTCTCTCCCCGCTCCATGAGCTTTATTAAACCTCGTCTTAAAACTGTGTATGGTTCCTGCCTCCACTACGTCATTTTCTAGGCTATTCCACTGCCTGACAACTCTATGACTGAAGAAATACTTCCTAATATCTCTCTGACTAATTTGTGTCTTCAACTTCCAATTGTGCCCTCTTGTTTCTGTGTCCCCTCCCTGGAACATCCTGTCTTTGTCCACCTTGTCTATTCCACGCAGTATTTTATATGTCGTTATCATGTCTCCCCTGACCCTCCTGTCCTCCAGTGTCGTCAGGCCGATTTCCCTTAATCTTTCTTCATAGGACATTCCCCTTAGCTCTGGAACTAACCTTGTCGCAAACCTTTGTACTTTCTCTAGTTTCTTGACGTGCTTTATCAAGTGCGGGTTCCAAACAGGTGCTTCATACTCCAGTATGGGCCTGACATACACGGTGTACAGTGTCTTGAACGATTCCTTACTAAGGTATCGGAATGCTGTTCTCAGGTTTGCCAGGCGCCCATATGCTGCAGCAGTTATCTGATTGATGTGTGCTTCCGGAGACATGCTCGGTGTTATACTCACCCCAAGATCTTTCTCCTTGAGTGAGGTTTGCAGTCTTTGGCCACCTAGCCTATACTCTGTCTGTGGTCTTCTGTGCCCTTCCCTATCTTCATGACTTTGCATTTGGCAGGATTAAATTCGAGAAGCCATTTGCTGGACCAGGTGTCCAGTCTGTCCAGGTCTCTTTGAAGTCCTGCCTGGTCCTCATCTGATTTAATTCTCCTCATTAACTTCACATCATCTGCAAACAGGGACACTTCTGAGTCTAACCCTTCCATCATGTCGTTCACATATACCAAAAATAGTACTGGTCCTAGGACCGACCCCTGTGGGACCCCGCTCCTCACAGGTGCCCACTGTGATACATCATTACGTACCATGACTCATTGTTGCCTCCCTGTCAGGTATTCTCTGATCCATTGCAGTGCCCTTCCTGTTATATGTGCCTGATGCTCTAGCTTCTGCACTAATCTCTTGTGAGGAACTGTGTCAAAGGCCTTCTTGCAGTCCAAGAAGATGCAATTAACCCACCCCTCTCTCTTGTGTCTTACTTCTGTTATTTTATAAAACTCCAGAAGGTTTGTGACGCAGGATTTGCCTTCCATGAATCTGTGCTGGTTGGCATTTATACTCTTGTTCTGTTCCAGGTGCTCCACCACTCTCCTCCTGATAATCTTCTCCATAACTTTGCATACTATACACGTCAATGACACAGGTCTATAGTTTAGTGCCTCTTTTCTGTCACCTTTTTTAAAAATGGGAACTACATTTGCCACCTTCCATACCTCAGGTAGTTGCCCAGTTTCCAGGGACGTGTTGAAGATTGTGCCTCCAACCGTCTCCTCGCTGTTGCATTTACCACCCAAGCTTCACACCCATATAAGTGTTGGTACTACTATACTTTCTTTGCCTCCATAGATAACGTTTTTTGACTCCACATATACCTCAACGCACCACTCACTTTTTTTCCCTCATCAATTCTATGATTAACCTCATCCTTCATAAATCCATCCGCCGACACGTCAACTCCCAAGTATCTGAAAACATTCACTTCTTTCATACTCCTCCTCCCCAATTTGATATCCAATTTTTCTTTATCTAAATCATTTGACACCCTCATCACCTTACTCTTTTCTATGTTCACTTTCAACTTTCTACCTTTACACACATTCCCAAACTCATCCACTAACCTTTGCAATTTTTCTTTAGAATCTCCCATAAGCACAGTATCATCAGCAAAAAGTAACCGTGTCAATTCCCATTTTGAATTTGATTCCCCAAAATTTAATCCCATCCCTCTCCCGAACACCCTAGCATATACTTCCTTTACAACCCCATCTATAAATATATTAAACAACCATGGTGACATTACACATCCCTGTCTAAGACCTACTTTTACCGGGAAGTAGTCTCCCTCTTTTCTACACACCCTAACCTGAGCCTCACTATCCTCATAAAAACTCTTTACAGCATTTAATAACTTACCACCTATTCCATATACTTGCAACATCTGCCACATTGCTCCTCTATCCACTCTATCATATGCCTTTTCTAAATCCATAAATGCAATAAAAAACTTCCCTACCTTTATCTAAATACTGTTCACATATATGCTTCAATGTAAACACTTGATCTACACATCCCCTACCCACTCTGAAACCTCCTCACTCATCCGCAATCCTACATTCTGTCTTACCTCTAATTCTTTCAATTATAACCCTACCGTACACTTTTCCTGGTATACTCAGTAAACTTATTCCTCTATAATTTTTACAGTCTTTTGTCCCCTTTCCCTTTATATAAAGGGACTATACATGCTCTCTGCCAATCCCTAGGTACCTTCCCCTCTTTCATACATTTATTAAACAAAAGTACCAACCACTCCAACACTATATCCCCCCTGCTTTTAACATTTCTGTCATGATCCCATCAGTTCCAGCTGCTTTACCCCCTTTCATTTTACGTAATGCCTCACGTACCTCCCCCACACTTACATTCTGCTCTTCTTCACTCCTAAAAGATGGTATACCTCCCTGACCAGTGCATGAAATTACTGCCTCTGTTTCTTCCTTAACATTTAAAAGTTCCTCAAAATATTCTCGCCATCTACCTAATACCTCCATCTCCCCATCTACTAACTCCCCTACTCTGTTTTTAACTGACAAATCCATACTTTCCCTAGGCTTTCTTAACTTGTTTAACTCACTCCAAAATTTTTTCTTTAACATTATCTTTCATTATTCCGAAGTAACCAAAGAGTTTATGAGACACTATGCAGAGAAATCTGAATAATAGTTTCTTTATAACTACCTGCTGGCTTACACTTTTGTTCATCCAGTCAATGAAACTCCTCACCAAGTATAATGATTTATTTATATATATAAAAAGTAAATTAATTTATTTTCATTTGTAAGAATGTATTATGGAAAAATAATAGTTTACCTGCAAGGAATTGGTACTGGCACAGAGGTCGTGATGCATCAGAGTGAATGTATCAACAGCTTCAACATTTCGGTTCCATAAATCATCTTCTGGGAGTGGAGGCTGAACTTCTTCCATGAGTGACAAGTCAAGGCCAGTCTCGCCATATGATACATAATAAAACTCACAGTGACAACGCGAAACAATTCTTTGCAGCTGTGATTAAAAAAATACAATATGTTCTTAGTCAGACATGATGGACAAGCAGTGGCAGGTTTAACCAAGAAATATTTCAATAGAAGCTGTGATTAATAAAAATATTATTTTTACTTGACATATGGGAAAAGCTGAGTAATAAGCTGAATAAACATAATTTCTTCAAATATTTTAAGAGACACTATTAGTATGTTTTTACATACCTGATGTTCATCATGACCTTCATCCATTGAACCAACTGTCTGCGACACAACACCACCAACTGACTGCCCACTACCAACAATATCAGCTACTTCATTGATTACTTGACCGTCCTTCTCTTCTATGTTGTCCACAGTCAGCCACATGATGTTGTCTGCATGCATATGACATTATATAACATCCACAACATATAAATACATCTTGATAATTTCACAATGAACCTAAAAATAAATGACATAAGACCACCATTTAACAAAGACAAAACACCATTATTATTACTATGCCAAATAACAAGGGCATTTCAGCAGAAGAGGCCATGCAACACAGGATTATGATGATTGTCATAGGAATACATATACAGTAGGGCCCTGGTTTTCGGCATTCCACATTTTGGCATCCTGCTATTTTAGTGTTTTTCAATTTATCCACTGTTCATTACATTCAGTGCTTGTTCTGCTTTTTCCGTATTTCTGGCCTGACGTACTCAACAGCTGTGTCAGGAAAGGGTGTTCTGCACCCTATGTTAAGTAATGTGTGTACATACTGTATATTTATTTTACTTTTGTATAATTTTCTTTTAGGCTCAGCTCTATTGTGCATTTTATATATGATAGTGTAAACATGTTATCAGGCTTTAATATGCATTTGAAAGTGAAAAAAGGCTGTATTCTACTTGTCGCTGGTTTTCGCTTTTCAGCAGGGGTCGGGAACTTAACCTGCTATATAACCTGGGCCCTTCTGTACTGTACCTATATTATCATGAACAATTTTTAAAAAGGTTGAATTCCAGCATACCCATCTGTGTTTCTTTATCCCCAGCATTGACTGTAGCATAGTACTGCATGCATTCCAGTGAGCCAAACCAAGTGGTCTTGGTGACAAGGGAGTGATCTTGCCAGACTGGACGATGGATGCGCTGTAGTATTTGGGCTTTGGCTGCACTCAGAATGACATAACCCTGTGTCTCACAACCTTTAAGCAACACTTGACTGTTGACTAGTTCAACTGAAACACAAAAAATTACTAACAGCGCTGGTTGGTACATACTGTGTATATCTCCTCTTGATCTTAATGATGTAAGTAGTGCCTCACAAAATATATGCTAATAGCATTAAATATTAATGATGCAACAATACTACACAAAATTCATAAATGAATGAACCAATTAACTATAGAAAATAGGTAATGTTTTAATTAGTATGGAGCATGCATTGTTATGTAAAACTAATGTACTGTTGACAAAATGAAGAGTCATGAGGCAAGTTCTTTTTTAATACTCAAGGTTGGAAATTTTATTTTAAAACCTGTGAGGTGTTATCGCTACCTCAGTTCATATCAAAGCCTGGACTCAGTCACATTGATGTATTTTGTATACCATTCTTAGCATGAAATTCAAAATAGTTCGGTAACACCTGGGTAATGTAGGTACAGCCTCTCCTCACCTAGCAACATACTCATTTACTGATGACTCGGACTTACGACGGGCTCTCTGACTGGTATGCATACCAAAATAATGTATATTAGTGCCGATTTCCCTTATTCTGTTTATTTCAACATACAGTAAACTACTGTATAAACATTTACAAATATACCAGAAATGTTATAAATGGTGCAAAGGTGACATGAAAACAATATCAAAGATGGTCGACACAAACTCACTACCATTATAGTATGTTCCTCACTGAGCGATGAATCTGTTTAATGACGTGGTCTTAAAAACGGAACTCCATTGTTATCCCTTTGACTGTTTTGGTCGTATATATACGTCTTACGAGCCAGTGTTTCGGACGTACTATTTTTTATTTATTTTTTTTATTATCACACTGGCCGATTCCCACCAAGGCAGGGTGGCCCAAAAAAGAAAAACTTTCACCATCATTCACTTCATCACTGTCTTGCCAGAAGGGTGCTTTACACTACAGTTTTTAAACTGAAACATTAACACCCCTCCTTCAGAGTGCAGGCACTGTACTTCCCATCTCCAGGACTCAAGTCCGGCCTGCCGGTTTCCCTGAACCCCTTCATAAATGTTACTTTGCTCACACTCCAACAGCACGTCAAGTATTAAAAACCATTCGTCTCCATTCACTCCTATCAAACACGCTCACGCACGCCTGCTGGAAGTCCAAGCCCCTCGCACACAAAACCTCCTTTACCCCCTCCCTCCAACCTTTCCTAGGCTGACCCCTACCCCGCCTTCCTTCCACTACAGACTGATACACTCTTGAAGTCATTCTGTTTCGCTCCATTCTCTCTACATATCCGAACCACCTCAACAACCCTTCCTCAGCCCTCCGGACAGCAGTTTTGGTAATCCCGCACCTCCTCCTAACTTCCAAACTACGATTTTATTATTATTATTATCACACTGGCCGATTCCCACCAAGGCAGGGTGGCCCGAAGAAGAAAAACTTTCACCATCATTCACTCCATCACTGTCTTGCCAGAAGGGTGCTTTACACTACAGTTTTTAAACTGCAACATTAACACCCCTCCTTCAGAGTGCAGGCACTGTACTTCCCATCTCCAGGACTCAAGTCCGGCCTGCCGGTTTCCCTGAACCCCTTCATAAATGTTACTTTGCTCACACTCCAACAGCACGTCAAGTATTAAAAACCATTTGTCTCCATTCACTCCTATCAAACACGCTCATGCATACCTGCTGGAAGTCCAAGCCCCTCGCACACAAAACCTCCTTTACCCCCTCTCTCCAACCTTTCCTAGGCCGACCCTACCCCGCCTTCCTTCCACTACAGACTGATACACTCTTGAAGTCATTCTGTTTCGCTCCATTCTCTCTACATGTCCGAACCACCTCAACAACCCTTCCTCAGCCCTCTGGACAACAGTTTTGGTAATCCCGCACCTCCTCCTAACTTCCAAACTACGAATTCTCTGCATTATATTCACACCACACATTGCCCTCAGACATGACATCTCCACTGCCTCCAGCCTTCTCCTCGCTGCAACATTCATCACCCATGCTTCACACCCATATAAGAGCGTTGGTAAAACTATACTCTCATTACATTCCCCTCTTTGCCTCCAAGGCAAAGTTCTTTGTCTCCACAGACTCCTAAGTGCACCACTCACTCTTTTTCCCTCATCAATTCTATGATTCACCTCATCTTTCATAGACCCATCCGCTGACACGTCCACTCCCAAATATCTGAATACATTCACCTCCTCCATACTCTCTCCCTCCAATCTGATATTCAATCTTTCATCACCTAATCTTTTTGTTATCCTCATAACCTTACTCTTTCCTGTATTCACCTTTAGTTTTCTTCTTTTGCACACCCTACCAAATTCATCCACCAATCTCTGCAACTTCTCTTCAGAATCTCCCAAGAGCACAGTGTCATCAGCAAAGAGCAGCTGTGACAACTCCCACTTTGTGTGTGATTCTTTATCTTTTAACTCCACGCCTCTTGTCAAGACCCTCGCATTTACTTCTCTTACAACCCCATCTATAAATATATTAAACAACCATGGTGACATCACACATCCTTGTCTAAGGCCTACTTTTACTGGGAAATAATTTCCCTCTTTCCTACATACTCTAACTTGAGCCTCACTATCCTCGTAAAAACTCTTCACTGCTTTCAGTAACCTACCTCCTACACATACACCTGCAACATCTGCCACATTGCCCCCTATCCACCTGTCATACGCCTTTTCCAAATCCATAAATGCCACAAAGACCTCTTTTAGCCTTATCTAAATACTGTTCACTTATATGTTTCACTGTAAACACCTGGTCCACACACCCCCTACCTTTCCTAAAGCTCCTTGTTCATCTGCTATCCTATTCTCAGTCTTACTTTTTAATTCTTTCAATAATAACTCTACCATACACTTTACCAGGTATACTCAACAGACTTATCCCCCTATAATTTTTGCACTCTCTTTTGTCCCCTTTGCCTTTATACAAAGGAACTATGCATGCTCTCTGCCAATCCCTAGGCACCTTACCCTCTTCCATTACATTTATTAAATAATTGCACAACCACTCCAAAACTATATCCCCACCTGCTTTTAACATTTCTATCTTTATCCCATCAATCCCGGCTGCCTTACCCCTTTCATTTTACCTACTGCCTCACGAACTTCCCCCACACTCATAAATCTGGCTCTTCCTCACTCCTACAAGATGTTATTCCTCCTTGCCCTATACATGAAATCACAGCTTCCCTATCTTCATCAACATTTAACAATTCCTCAAAATATTCCCTCCATCTTCCCAATACCTCTAACTCTCATTTAATAACTCTCCTCTCATATTTTTAACTGACAAATCCATTTGTTCTCTGGCTTCCTTAACTTGTTAATCTCACTCCAAAACTTTTTCTTATTTTCAACAAAATTTGTTGATAACATCTCACCCACTCTCTCATTTGCTCTCTTTTTACATTGCTTCAACACTCTCATAACCTCTCTCTTTTTCTCCATATACTCTTCCCTCCTTGCATCACTTCTACTTTGTAAAATCTTCTCATATGCTAACTTTTTCTCCCTTACTACTCTCTTTACATCATCATTCCACCAATCGCTCCTCTTCCCTCCCGCACCCACTTTCCTGTAACCACAAACTTCTGCTGAACACTCTAACACTACATTTTTAAACCTACCCCATACCTCTTCGACCCCATTGCCTATGCTCTCATTAGCCCATCTATCCTCCAATAGCTGTTTATATCTTTCCCTAACTGCCTCCCCTTTTAGTTTATGAACCTTCACCTCTCTCTTCCCTGATGCTTCTATTCTCCTTGTATCCCATCTACCTTTTACTCTCAGTGTAGCTACAACTAGAAAGTGATCTGATATATCTGTGGCCCCTCTATAAACATGTACATCCTGAAGTCTACTCAACAGTCTTTTATCTACCAATACATAATCCAACAAACTACTGTCATTTCGCCCTACATCATATCTTGTATAATTATTTATCCTCTTTTTCTTAAAATATGTATTACCTATAACTAAACCCCTTTCTATACAAAGTTCAATCAAAGGGCTCCCATTATCATTTACACCTGGCACCCCAAACTTACCTACCACACTCTCTCTAAAAGTTTCTCCTACTTTAGCATTCAGGTCCCCTACTACAATTACTCTCTCATTTGGTTCAAAGGCTCCTATACATTCACTTAACATCTCCCAAAATCTCTCTCTCTCCTCTGCATTCCTCTCTTCTCCAGGTGCATACACGCTTATTATGACCCACTTCTCGCATCCAACCTTTACTTTAATCCACATAATTCTTGCATTTACACATTCATATTCTCTTTTCTCCTTCCATAACTGATCATTCTAGCGGCTTCAAATCAAGCAGGAGAAAGCTGGTAGGCCCACATGTGAGAGAATGGGTCTGTGTGGTCTGTGTGCATCACACAAAAAAAAATCCTGCAGCACGCAGTGCATAATGAGGAAAAAAAAAAAACTGACCATTTTTTGGATTAAAACGCCGAATTTGAGTTGTATTTTCGTATAGTATTTATCATTGTATTCTCGTTTTCATGGTCTCAAGTGATAAAATAGAAAACATATTACAGAAATAGAGATGATTTTGATTAGTTTCACAATGAAAACAACCTTGAAATTGAGCTCAAAGTAGTGGAAATGTTCGATTTTTACCAATGTTCAGGAGTAAGCAAATCACACCACATGTCCAATACACGTCAACTGGGGAGTCTAATATTCTTTCACTAGTGCACTGATATTATTTATGCCATTTTTACAAGAATGCAGTAGTCTGCATAACAGTAAATTTTGTATTTTTTTATGAATAAAAAAATCAAACTAGAAAGCAATAGTAATATAAGAGGGGCCTAGAGACGTGACTAATGAACAGAAGATATGTTATTTTAGTGCCAAGAATGTCTACATTGTTTATTCTGGACCCTATTTTGAAATTGGCATTTTTTTAATTTGCGTGAAATTGACCAAATTGCTAATTTCTGACCACTTTATTAGGTAGTTTAAATCGGTAAATGGGCAGTTTC